TCATTAGTCAGCGCGCTTGATTTCGCTCGGCCGTGCACTCGGCGATACTCGCGTGCCCCGGACGGCACTCGGACTCGGGCGCGCAGCTGCGCCGACACGAGCGGAACGCGCGCGCGCGCGCGCACTTCGAGTGCGGCAACAACTTGCGGCTTGGACGTGGCAGCACTTTGTCATCCGCGGACTCGTTTCGAATCGAGCCGAGCGCCAATGGACTCATCGCCGCCAGTTTTCGCCCGAATAAATCAAAAGTGCGCGCGCGCGGAGGGCGCGGAGGGCGCGGAGGGATCGGAGGGCCGTCGGCCAGCGACCAGCGCGCTTACAGCATATTTATCGCCCGACCAATTCAACACTTCAATGATGGCCAATATTTCCATCAGAAGCACGGGCTCGCGGCCCGGGCCGGCTGCGCTCCGCGCTCGAGGAGCATCGCACGCCGAGTGCGCGCAGCGGCTGATTTGCATGATCCGCGCGCGGTGCTGTCGGGCGCACAATCGGCGGCAGCGATCGCGCCGACCGATCGGACTCACGGCCGAGCGGCGACTTTACGAGCGTCGGCGCTGGCGCGGTCCCCGTGACTAATGTGGCCGCGCTCTGGCCGAGAGTTGCCAAGTTGGCAAGCGGTGTGAAAAATGCAGGCGCGGAGCAAAAGTGCTGCGGCCGCGCGAGGCTCGCGCATCATTAAACGTTGCTAGTAATTACTACTAAATAATTTGGCCAAACGGCCAGCTGATATTCCCCGGACAGTGGGCTATCTGGGCTGTCCCTCGGCCCAGCGCGCGCAGCCATGTGAATTCCGCGAGCGAGAGAGAGATCGGCCGACCCTATGAATTCCGCATGAGTATGCGAGCCGCGCTAGGCGCGCTTGACGCCGGCCGGCTCAAGTGGAAATTGAAGTGAAATATGAAAATGAAAGCGCGCGAACGAGCGAGCTGGCGCCTGACGACGATTGCGCCTTCCCCCGGGCAAAGGCGCGCGCTCGCCCGCGTTAATACTTAATCCGCAATATTCCGCTCTCCGCCCTCCTCGGCCAGCGATGCCCGCCCGCGCCAAAGTACAAAATCGCGGCGGCAAAGTTATTGTTCGGGCGCGCGTCTGTCAGCCCCAGAGTCGGCGGCGCCGTCGAAAAACGCAGGCCCGCGCTGCCGCAAACGCGACTGCCGATATCAGGCCGCGCTACTCGCGGCAGACTTGCGCGCGCGGAGGGTGCTCCAGGCCGGCTGCAGGCAACTGACACCAAACAAATCTCTCTCTCCGGTGAGCACGCGTCCGTGGCCTCTTTTCGCGATCGGCCGATGCCTGACAAATAAAAACTCCGATGGTGGTGGTGGTGGTGGTGCTGCTGCTGCTGCTGCTGCTGCTGCTGCTGCTGCGGCTGCCGCTGCTGCCACTGCTGCCGCTGCTGCCGCTGCTGCTGCTGCTGCTGCTGGCGGCACCACTCCACGCACCATCACTCTTCCCGCGTCCCGCTCTTCGCCACTCCTCCGCCTCCCTCGCTCGTCGCTTTGATGAATCTGTCGATTTACGAGCTCCAGCCCCGCCAGAGCGCGCCGCTCGCACTGCAGGCCTTAATGAGGCAGAAATGCGCCTCGTCCGCGCAGCTGTTCTCGGCTTCGTTCGATTGGCCAGCGTCGCGCTGACTAGCCGCGATGCGACAGCCGCTCGTCCTTCCGTTGGAAGCGCAAGCAAAAACCAATCAAAGTTTGGCTCGTCTCCTCCGAGACAACGGACTGTCTGTCGGTCGGCGGGCATCAAAAGGCAGCGGCTGGGCCGCTCGATCGACGAACGTCATAGAACGCCAAGCGAGCGGCCGAGCGAGAATCCGTGCCGTGCTAATTGCCCATCGCCGATCTCTCTCGCGCGCAAAAAGCGAGCGCGGCCGAGTCCGATGCTGCGATTGCGGGCGGCCGGCGGCGCGTCTCTTCCTTGGCTCTCGCTCCCGCAAAAAGCGAATGACCGACGGCGAGCGCTTAGGTGGCAGCCGCCGCCTCGTCCGTTTATTCGGAGATAAACCCGGCGTCGGGGCAAAGGTGGATCAAGAGGCGCGAGCCGTTACGAGTGGCAGCGGGACTAGGTGCGCGGCTTCATTGCTCCGGCCTGACAAAAGAATGCTCATATGGGGGCGCGCGCTGCTGCCAAGTGCGGCCGTTTCTCCGCCGAGCGAAGATCAGCGTCGCGCTTTTATTAGGCAGTTGCGCGCGGCCGAGAAGAAGCGCCGGGCGCTGGCCATTCGCTCGAGCTGCTTGCCAATGCGCGAATAATGGCGCCGAGTAAAGCCGGCCTTCATCCCAGCGGCGCACGCGATCTTGCTCGTGAGTCCGCGAACGACCGACGTCGGTGCGCTCGCTCGAGCCGAGCGGCCGAGGTTCGGCGTTCGCCTCCGAAGGCTGCCCGCGTGATTGACCGTCGGCCGGGCTCTGGCGGGGCCGATCGATCGTCGCGGCTCGCGAGTTTGTCGAGCCAGCGAAACGGCGGCAGCTGGCGGCGGAGGATGCTGCAGCTCGGACGTGGCGTTCGATGGGGCGCTGTCTGGCGGTCGTCGGAGCGCGTCGTGCGGCGGCGGCGGCGGCGGCGGCTCTAGCGATCGAGCGCCGCAGGAATAATAGCAAAGTAGCAGAGCGAGATAGATGGAGATAGGGAGGGTGAGCGCCGTGCGAGTTGGAGTCGCTGCGGCGGCCTAGCGTAGCGCCAGTCGCGGGAGCAAATTAGAGGGTGTTTCGAATCCGAGGGCTGGGATGGGGGGGGGGGGGCGCTCTTGCCTGCACGAGAAGGCGAGGGACGAACAAATGAAATGAAATGTTCTTGCCGCTGAAAGAGAAAGGCAGAGACGAGAGCGAGATAAGGTCCCTCCGCGCGCGCGCGCGCGCGAGTGAAACGGAGAGAAAGACAGATTGTTTGTCACTGCACCCTCCCTCCGGCCTCGGCCGCACTCTCGCTCGCCGACTTGGCGTTAGCTCGCTTATTTGCCTAATTGCGCCGCGCTCAATAACATCGCCCGGCGCTCGCCCTCTAGCCGCCGATCTCGCCCACCTTTGATTATTTTCCGATAAGCCCGGGCGCTCCTAGTCGTCTTCCTTATCCGCGCGCCGATCCCCTCCTTCGCTCGGCTTTTTTTCCGTTGCTCGGCGCATTTTTTGCCGCGCTGCGCCCAGCATCGAGGCGATAAGCAGCTTAGCCGATATTCCGGGCGTTTAGAGGCCAGATTTTTCGTGCCTCGAGGTGGTGTCGCCGCCAATCCCTGGCCGTGGACCTTGTCAGATATGCAAAACACGCCTAGCCGGGGGCGCGCGGCCTATTGGCTTCGGCCGCTCCTTACGTCCCCAGCGAGACGTGGACACACTCCGTCATATTGTCGCCCCGAGAGCTGAACTGACAATCAAATAAATGCGCGGCTCGGGCACCCCCGTCGGGCCGCTTGATAGGCACGCGCGGCCGATATATTCCAAGTGGCCGCGGTAAAAAGTACCTCGCGGGCTCCGTCGGCTCCGCCGGCTCCGTCGGTCGATACGTCTCTTCGCGGGGAGCGCGCGCGCGTAACGAGAGACGAGAGACGAGAGACGGGAGACGAGAGCCGGCTGGCTGTGGCGCGAGGCAGCACGTGGAGACGCTGAGTGGCCATTGAGATGCTCTCGCCTGGCTCCGCACCCTCGGCTGCGCCGGCGTCGCGCAAGGAAGCCAAACCAAACAGATATTGGGGGCAATGAGGCGAGCTACTTTTAACAAGACGATATCTGCGCCGGCTTTATCCCTCGGTCCTCGGCTGCCGCAGGGCCAGCGCCGCTCGATATACCTCGAGATAATCTTGAATGTCGGCGACGGCGAATTAGGCGCGCCCCGCGCGACTCGCCATTGATCCCAATTTGCTAACGAGCTGCGATCGAGGAATCAAGGAGGCGAGGCTCATCCGCGTGCCCTTTGAGTTCCGATCGAGTGGCGCGCACCCGTCGACTCGTTGCCCCGCGGCCTCGCCGGCCGAGAGCAGTGGGCATCGGCAGACCGAGCGAATGAAGCTTGATGGGCCTGCGCACTCTCGAGCGGAGCGCCGCCGTGCCGAGAGAAAGGAAATTGGGCGATATTTCCCGCGAGCGGCTATCAAACCTTATTGCCAATCGAGCGGGAGAGCAAAGTTTGCGCCGCTAACTTGCTACTGCTGGGAACGCGCAAAATAAAAGCTGCCCTCGTTGCCGCTCTATAGCCCTCGGCTGAGAATTCACGCGATGTACTCGCGCATGAATCTCGGAAATATTTGGCCCAGGAAAGCTATTTAGCGATGTTGCACGAGCCCCTAATATCTTCCATTAAGCAAGAGTGGATTTCTGGCTGCGAGTCTCGATAATGGCTCGTCATAATTTCCTATCAGAATCCGCAAAAAGTGTGGATCGCGCGACGCCGACTCTGTCGACCAAGATCACGTAGGCCCATAAGGGGCGTAATGAGTCCGCAAGCGTCAGCGGCATCTAATGTCAGGAATTATAGCATATTGCCAATAAAATCCAACGATTCGCCCCTGTACTCACAAAACTAGCCCAAATAGCTCCGGCCACCGCCAGCGCGCCGCTATCTATACCTACACGCGCGCGCTCACATAGACGCGTATATAGGTTTCCGAATAGATATACGTAGACGGCCAGGGGGAAGTTATATTGTAACGAACGACCGGCCGCCTCGCTATTAAACCCACGGCATCTCAAGGGAGACTCGCTGCCCGCGCGCTCCTTTCTTCTCTTTCGCTCCGTTTTCCGTCGCCGACAACAGACATTGACAATCGAATATCGATAATCCTGTTATCGCCCGCCTTCACGCCGACCTCACCTCCTCCTCCTCCTCCTCCTCCTCCTTGCTACTGGCGTCGACGGCTGACCACAACCACCACCTGCACTTCTGCTGCTCTTTTTACACCTTATTATTCGACGCGATTCCTTATTTACACGCCAATTACATTGCAACGTTATAAGCCCGACGCAATCGACGAGCTACCAGTTATTTCTAACGCGAAAACCAATTCAAATTCGGCCTTCAACTTCTTGGCCGGAACAAGTCGTTGCTCCACAACGGCCCTCCTCGATGCGACTTTCAAAACTGCCGTTGCTCTTCGTTTCGACATCTTTGCGCGACAAATGTACAACTGATTTGGTTTGATCCCTCACCTGAAAACAGCGGTTCGATCGGCTCGTCAATCGTCGTCGCCTCTATCTCACGCCAGCTTACCTCTTGCCAGTCGTATCTCTGCGAATCAGCGCCACGGACGCACCAGCATGTCGTGTCTTTCGACACGTTCGAACGGTAACTTTGGTTGAAGAACATCTTCTTCGGCCTGCCCGAATGCTCGTTCATTTTCAACGATTGTTGCAGCTGCTTGACTAAACATTCGTATCTGAAAATGAACAATTGTCCATGATCGTTTGCCCGTTTTGCCGGAGCAGTAATGTTCGAGCGTGACGGAACCTCCGAATGGTCGCGTTTCGGTTTTTCTTAAAAAATTCCAGCTCCTTCTCTTTTTCCAAAACTTTCAGTTTCAGCTTATCTATCTCGCACTGCGTGCTTTCGTCGGAGTTACGAATAAGACTGAGCAGATTGACGTTCCCTTCGAAAATTGTCAAGCGAGCGCGAAGATTATCGATTTCTTTCGCTGACTTTCTCTCGAGGTCCGTTCTTGCCGTTTCCGACTCAGCAATGTCTTCTCTCATCGCGGTCAGTTTTTCTATCAGTTTGGTCACTTGCCTACCTAATATATTCGCTTGTAGGCTATTCGACGAGTTTGCTTTGATTATCGCCTTGAGTTGCCATTTCAACCACGAAACTTGATCGTCTCGTTCGCCAATTCTCTGCGTTAGATAATCCAATTGATCGCGAATAATCAGCTGAGCTTCTGTCCTGTCCGCGATCATGCTGTCCACGTTAACCTTATGCCTCTGTAGCTGGTTCAGTACACTTTCGCACTCGTCAACTTTTCCGGACAGTGCAATCGTCTGTGCCAAGTCCCTTTCGTAAGCTCTCATTTGTTCGTTCAACTTGGCCAAGCTAACTGTTTTTTCGCTGAGCTCTTCCTCCAACTTGTGTATCTTCAAGACGTGTTCTTTGTAACACCTCAATGAAAATTTTTCCAATTCCGAATACGCCATCGATAATTCGAAACCTAAATTCACAGATTTTTCCCAATAGTCTTTCAAGTATCTGCATTCTCCTGCCTCGTACGCTCTCACTTTAAGCTGAAATGCACGTAAACGAATTAAACACTCTTTCGGTAAGCAATTACACTGAATTTTGCCAACCTGTGAATCGTCGAGCTTTCTTTCGTAATCCTTGCTCACCGCTAGTAAATTATTCCGCAATTCATTCAACTGATTTTCCAGCTGTCTTTTCTCCTCGTTCAAGCGATCTATTTCTGCTTTACTATCGCGAAGATTCGTCTGACACTCGCTAATAGTTCGATCTTTCTTAGTTGTGTCCGCTTTTAGCTGCAGCATCGCTTCCCTAATACGTTCGAGCTCCAAAGACAATTCCGTTATTCGCTTAGAGCCTTGCGTGCGTTGAGCTTCCATTCGATTATAATCGAGATTCAGTTGCATCAACTTGCTTTGCAAAATTTCGTGCTGATCTTCGTTCCATTGTCCGTCAGTTTGGCAATATTTTTGCTGTCTACGTACGCCAACGACCGAATCCAAGCTAAATGCAATTCCTGAATCATCTTTACTAGCGTCCGAGCGGGATCTCGTGGCGTTGCTTTCATTGTTGAGCGAACTCGAGTCCGGTACACTTGTCAGATAAGTGTCGTCGGTTTCTTTCAACGAGACTACCTCTTGATGAAAAGAGCAGGACAACGAGTTTTCCGGATCGTCGGCATCGAAGTCCGGATTTTTGAAAAATTCTCTCGATTTCGAAGCCATTTCAAGACTTTCGCACTTTCGTAATAAGAGCAAACGAGCAGACTCAGACTCCGAGTGTTGCTGTCTCGCGCGCAAAAGATCAATATCTTGCTGTTCGGTGGTTCTCCGCAAAACTCTCAACTGCTCCTCTTTCGCGTGATTTTCCACTTCAAGAGCTCTCCGATGGGACAAACAATCCGCGACACACTGTTCGATTCGAGATAGACGCTCGACTAGTCCTCCTGCACGCGGATCCCCCTGACTCTGTGCGTTTTTGTCCAAGCGCTCGTTGGATAAGCCCGACGAATCAGTTATCGCGGCCAGGCTGATATCGTTCGAATGGAATAACGCCTCGATGCTCTTAGAGTACTGGTCTAATAGCGTGGCGTCCAAGTCGCACTGTACCGTCTTATCGGCCTGCTCGTTCGCGCAAGAGGCTCGCACGAAGTCTACGATACTTTGAACGTGCGAAATTGTGTCGTTGTTGAGGTATTGAAAATTCGTCGTTGAGAGCTCGTCGACAGGCAAGTCATCGTCATATTTCTTAGTGCACCCGATAAAGTCAGCTATTCGTTTGAAATGAGCCTTCAACCAGGATACCTCGATAGCGTACTGTTCGTTCTCCTCTTTCGCAGACTCGAGCAACTCTTCGAGTTTTGACACTTTGGCGCTGTCTTCGTTGAGTTTTTCGATCGATAGGTTATCGCTCGTTTTGCCTCTACGATCGAGCTGCTCACCGAGCCGCGATTTGTAACGACTGTCCAGTCTGTCTACCGACAATTTCAGCAAATACTCCTTCTGTTCCTCGGCCAGTGACATTCGATTCTTCCAAATGTCCTCCAGATCAGTGAGCTGCTTGGTATAAAAGTCGGCTAGATCCTGTCGCAGCTTATACTCTCGAGTCAACTCAGCAGACTTCAACTGCTTTATTTGATCGAGCAGCTGCTTGTTCTTCGTGAGAATCTCGTTAATTTCTTGATCGCTGAGAGTTTGGGTGGGAATTGGCGAGGGCATCCGTTGAAGTTTCGGGCTCGAAACCGGTGACTGATAATCCAACAATCTTTTGTCTTCTTTCGCAAACTCCGTAGTAAGTTTTACTGCTGTCAATGCAAAGTTCAGGGCATTCTGCGTCTCGGCAAAAAGCTCAAAACTGGGGTTTAGATTGATGAGAATGATAAGGTTTTCTTTGCGCAGCGAATGCTCAAACAGTCTTGTCAGCTTCGAGTCTCGGAATGGACCGGTACTTTGCCGGGAGTGGCCCTCAGCTAAGGCCTTGAGGCACCTGCCAAAGGCCAACAAACTTGTACTGATGCTTCGGGACTCCTTCAATTGCTTGTCGCTGCTCGCGGATTTCGGCAATTTGCCAGTGCCGGCAAGATCGTAAAATGAAATGGTACTCGTCTGCAAATGGAAAAGGCAAAATTTAAGTGAATCAATGCAGTGCGCACTCTCGGAATGCGAAACAATTTTGCGCGACTAGCTGCGCGTTCGTCGCGAGAAATACCTGGACTGCAGCTGGAGTAGAATCTTTCTCGTACTTGAGTAATCTCATTGTGAAAATTGAATGAGACCTTGAACTTTTGTAATTGGATGCTGAAACTGTACTAAGCCTCGTTTGGCCTGCATTCAAAATTCCATAAGCTTCTAAACCAGTTGTAGCGCAGACACTTCGCATCCCTTGAACGTAAGTCAAGCCATGCTTGTCGGTTGATAACTTTAATGGCATGTTTTTGCCGTCCTCGTCGACTTCCAACAGGTCGTAAACGGCGTCGTTGTATATTTCTATGAAAGATATCCATAGCGAGCACACGCGCCCTTTGGCGGGCTCGCGGTCGCGGCCCCACGGGCAGTCTTGCAGGGCAGCGCACCACCACTCGTCGGGGCCTGGTCCGTCGGCCGCCGCTCGGCAGGACACGAGCCTCTGCCGCGCGTCGCGTTCGGCGTCTCGGCCGGCCTCGTCCAGCCTGACCACGCCTTGAGAATGCTGCTGCGGCTTGTACCGAGGCCTCGCGGCGCAGTCGATCGAAGAGAAAACGCAGGCTATGCTCCTCGGCACGATTCCGGGGTCGCTGCTCGGCCCGAACAGCGTGTACGTTTTGCCGGCGTCGACCGAGCCATAACTCACGACGCTGCAGTTTTCGTTGTCGTGCAGGAAGCCAGCGAGCCGAGGCTCGACCGCCTCGCCGAACAGCCGCGCCTGGTCCACTTGCGGCTCGAAAATTCGGTCGAACGAGAATTTTTTGAAGGCCACGCTCTCGCTGGGCTTCGACCGCCTCGCGCTGTCGTCCGCGGTCAGCCGCCTCACGAGTAAACTCACTGGACTGTCCACTACGTAGATGTCCGGCTGAGTTTTATTCTCGTCCGGCGGACTCGCCGGTCGGATTCTTAGCACGACTTTGGTCTTGGACGAGGGTGCCGCTGCCGTCGACGATTCCGCGGAGGCTGGCTTTTCCGGGTGCGCCCTGCAGCAGTCGGCCTCCCGCTGGCCCTCGTGCCTGGACATTTTCAGTGCCGAGAGCAAGTAATTCATGGGCTTGGGCTTTGGAGCATAAAAGTTGGCAGGCTACAGGTGCGATCGCGCGCGAGATTCAGCGAGAGATTTGAACAGTGACGCGACGCGACCCGACGCGACGCGAGCGAGCGAGCGGGCTTGGGTCGGCGCGAACCGAAGGTTAAGTACGTTTGTTTACCTCGGTCCGTCACCGCGAGCAACTTCGCGCCGAGGCCGCGTGTTGTGATTGCGAGCGCCCGGCAGACACGGATAGCCGTAGAGTCGAGTGCGGGACGGGGGCAGTGATTCGGAGGCGAGCAGGTAGACGCGCGGAAGGGGGAGGGGGGCACAGCCAACTCGCGAGCTAGCACGCTCGAAATATCTTCAAAGCCGCGAGAAATGCAGCAATTTATATGCGTGTCGCCTGGCCCGTTAAGCCGAGCCAATCAAAGAGCCGCGCTAATGGCGGAGAATGGCGCGGCGAGGTGGCGCGAGGGCGCGGGTGCAGGCGTATCGACGAGCGCGCATCAAACGCGCCGCGAGGCCTTTGTTTGCGCGCGATAGCTCTCGCGGCCGGCAGCAAATTGAAGCCGTTATGATTGATGGAGCTTTGATAGCCATATGGACGTGCGGTCGCGGCTGAAAAAAGGAAAAAAACGGGCGCACCGCGGTGGCGGTGCGCGAGTCGTTAAGTATTTACGTTGTAATAGACACATCAGTTTTGATCTACGCCGGGTGGCGCATAACTCAACTTATAGGCCATAAAAAGCTCGAAGCCCAGGCGAGAAGTTTCTTCGGCGAACTGGCGGACGCACTCTCGCGGAAGATGCTCGTAAGAGCTCCGCGCTATGAAAAATAACAGCCGCTCGCTCTCCGCGCATCGGCCGTTAACGCCGACTCCGATTCGTGCTCGCCCCTTTATGGCTTATTTATGTAATGCTGACAAATGCCCCGGCAGGCCGGCAGGCCGGAGCAAGCTTCGCGGCGATTCGCGGCTCGGATTCAATCGGCGTCGGCCGTTGGCCGCCGCGGATGTGCGAGCGCGTATCGGCCATCGGAGACAAGCGAACAGCTGCTGGCCGCAATGCTCGCGCGAGGCTCGACAATCCGCAAGCGAGATGGCAGCGATAGCGCGCCTCTGTACATTGCCCAAGATCGACTTGAATATTAACGCTCGGCCGTAAACGCTGCCCGCGGACTGCCCCCTCCCCCCCAGTCCCCAAGCGAGCGCGCGACTTTTACGCATCGCCGCTGCCGAGCGATCTTCAGCGCCCATTAGCCGCCGATACATTGCTCGGAGATCCGGCTACGTTGCTGTCAACGCGCGCGCGCCAGACAAAGGCGCTTATATATTTTAGTCGGTCGACGCGGCGGCGGCGGCGGCGGCGGCGGAACGGTAGCAGCGGAAACGACTAAGTGTGCAATTAGCCGGCCTCTCTCTAGCCATGATCTCACAGCGACGACGATGCATCATCCCAACGTGGATGCAGTCATTTTCATTGGTCTCGATAATTTTTCCGTGGGGACGCTTGCGCCAGTTAGGAGTCAGTGCACCCGCGGTGGTCAGGCCGCTCTCGGCATCGAGCGAAGTGCTTCGTTTGTTTTTCCAGCCAGCTAGTCGATAAACTATGCGTGTTTTCGAGTGGCAAGCTAATTCCGCAACACGCGCAGATAGATACGATGCGAGCCGGTAGCCTGGCGTTATTTATACGCGGAGTAAAGATCAGCGAAACGGAAGTCGCGATTGCGCGCGTACACGTTCCCGTGCGCACTTGTTTAGTGGCAGTCGATGAGCGCGCATTAAATATTAATGCGATGGAGCATCTATCGGGCTTCCCGGATTAGCATCGTCGTGCCGCCGAAGAGATCGAGTCTCGTCTCGCAATATCAGATTTATCCATCTGTTTGCCGAAAGTCTCATAAATAAGGTCCCTTTGACGTCGTGCCGTGCTGGCGCAGCTACCGCTGGCGTTGCTGGCGTTGCTGGCGCTGCTGGCGCTGCTGGCGCTATATATAAGAGCGAGTAAGAGAGTAAGAGAGTAAGAGAGCGAGTGATGTAGTTGGGGAAAAGGGAATCGATCGGATAGTCGCCGCGTAGACACATCAGTATTCCCAATTAACGGGATCCTTTCATCAAACTCCGCAGCCGGGTAAATTACGAAGGTGTAGGTGGGCTAAAGATCGAGGATAAAACGAGGCTATAAATAAGGAAAGCCGAGCGAATTAAGCGCGTTAACAGGCGTATTATTGGGTTAAGAACGAGTGGCGAATGCGCGACAGGGACGTCGGAATAAGCGAATCGATGGCGGAGCCGGGGACATTACGGGGCCGTGGCGAGAGCTGATCAAAGACGACGGGGCTTCGAGGAGGAAAATTGGCAAAGAGGAGGCGGCGGTCCCCGCAAAGAAGCTTGGCGAGTCGCGCGGCGCGGAATTCCAGCTGATCTCGGGCGAGCCTCGTATACGAGTAGGGCAGCCGGAGAGCCAGCCGTAAACATCGGGCGCGCCGCTATCGAGAGAAAGCAATATGCCCGGACGGAGCGGATCGTAAAGTCCAATAAGCCGCGCGTCGGCGAGCGCTCATTATTTCGTTTCGATAAACGCGCCAATAGGGCGAGCGGCCGGCCAGTTCGGCGCGCGTCGCCTCGTAAACGGTTACGGCGCGGGCCGCGGGGGCCCGGCGATATTGGCGAGTTATCGGCGGCAATTGGCTCCCTGCTCTAATCCGCGAAAGTATCGCTTAATTGCCGAGCGTCCTCCTTTTACGCCGCGCTCGTCGCTCGTCGCGCGCCGAGCGATGCACGCGCGATATCGGCGCTCCGATCAGCCCCGGAGCTGGCTCGCCGCCTGAGACACGGAGTATACGAGCGTCGCGTCGATGGCAGCCGCAGAGTGACGGAGAGCAGCGCGGAGAAGCGAAGAAGGGAGTTTATGTCGGGGCGTAAGCCGGTTATAGGCGCTGCCGATGTTATTTGATGGCCAAATGCACTCCGCGCCCAAGTACCGGGGCGGCTCCTTTGACCCCGGCAAGATATTTGCTCTTTGCGCGCGCTCACAATCGATCGAAAGGGCCTTTTTCGCTCTTTCCCTCTCGGCTTTCTGCGCTCGCCTCCAAGGAGCTTCATTAGAATAATTGAGCTTTGTGCTCGCAGCCATTAACGCGCGCGACTCGGCTGTTTATGCGCCAGGCACAATGCAGGAAGGGTTGCAAGCCGAGCTGCAAAGGCAGAGGGGGCAGGCAGGCAGGCAGGCAGGCAGGCCGCTTGGCTGCCTCCGAGAAAACAGCCGCGCTGCAGCCCGTCGAAATAAAAAGGCAGAAATCAAAGCTGCTGACGGCTGCCGCGAGTGCGCCTAGCGGGAAAATTGTCGTTCAATTCCCACAGCAGTTGCACTTTGAGTCTCTCGTGTTCGCCCCCGGGCGGAAGAGCTGCGCCTTGCCCTTGAGCCGCCTATTTCTTTTTGATCTCGCTAAAGAATTCATTAAGTTGCTGCCGCTGCCGCTGCCGCCGCCGCTGCCGCTGCCGTCAGCGAGGCGGGAGCTGGGGCGCGCGTTTCACGCTCCGCTTAATCGCTCCGCCGCCGCCGCCGCCGCCGCCGCCGCCGCTGCTCGCCGACCGCACTACTCGCGAGTGCCCTGCATCTCGCGAATCGGCCATCCGCGGCTCGCCGGCGAGTTCGGTGCGCGCGCCCCTGCGGATGCCGCGCGAAAAGCCGCCTGGCAGCCGTTTAATCGGACTTTGGCCAATTTTTAAAAAAGTAATCCCAGATAAGGCGCTGTAGCGTGATAAATTCATGATTGAGAGAAGCGTGTAATCGAAGGCAGCCGAGTTAACAAAGTTTTTATAGGGAGAGCGCTCCGAGTGGAGCTGCCGCTTCCCCGGCCGGCGCCTCTTCCTCGGCAATTTTTCCGCCTAGAATTATACGAAGCGAGGCGGGGCCGGGCGAGGGCAGACTCAGACGACGCCCGGAATTAACGTCTCTTGCGGCATAAAAAATCTGTGTAATCAATTATCGAACCTTTTCTCTACCCCACATTTCACGGCCAATGAGTCTCCAAAGCCCCAGAGCACTTCTTATTTTCATCTTACTTCCTGGCTCTCCTCATTTTCTTGCTCGATATTATCGCCTCCCCTCGGCCGGCGCTCGCGCCGCGATCAGCGCCTCCGCGATATAACTTGATTATTAAATATTTGCAATTCCAAGGAGGCGCGAGAGTGGCCGCGGCGCGATCGACCGGAGCGAGGCGGAAAACGGTCGACGGCTTGCCCCCTCGACCAGCTCCATTGACGAAAAGAAAAGGCGCCGCCGCGGGCGCGCACTTTCGCGCGCCGATACAAGGCACTGCCGCCGCTTCGCCAGACTGTGAATTTTTAATTCGCACATCCAACGGGTTTCCGCCTGAGCGCCACTTCCCCGATCGGGGCGCGATCGCTGCGCCCTGGCGAACGAGGCCGCGGACTGCCAGTGGGCGCGCTAACGAGCTAAGGGCGTATTATCGACGGCAAGGCGCGAGAGTCGCGGCGTCGGCGGCTCCGGCAGCAAGAAGCGGCGCTCGCGCGCGCGGCCAAAGAGACCGCAGAATCTCGGAGCGTCGTGCTGCGAAACTTTGTTAAATTTTTGGTCCGGCCGGTGCGCCGCGAGCGCGTATGCAATATACGTCAGACGAATAACTGGATCAAAGGGATGGACGCGCGCACACGGCAAATCCGATCTCGTTGCCGGCGCTGCTGCTGCTGCTGCCGCTGCTGCTGCTGCTGCTGCTGCTGCTGCTGCTGCTGCTGCTGCTGGCTCGGCTGCAGCTTCACTCGTTACGCTCTTCTTATTAAGCGGACTCGCGCGCGGGCTTCCTCTTTTTACTTTGGTCAAACTTTGAAAAACCCACTCGCTTTGCGCCCGGCAAAACGTCGCTAAGCTCGCTTTTTACAAAATAATTCCGGCAGCGCAAAGAACTTTATTAAAGCCGGGACGAATTCTTAATAACAAACAGCGCCACTTCTCTGTCTTTTTGTAGCTTTATTCGGGCAAACTTACAACATGTAAAAATGCTAACAACTTTGACTGGTGAAGCTCGTGGCGGGCGCGCGGGCGGCGGCGGCGGCGGCGGCGGCGGCGGCGGGGGCGGCCGATAATTGCAGCGAGTGGCGCAGAGGTGCGTGAAACAGTTTGGTGTGGTTGTCTAGCGAGACCGGGCCCTTGAAGTACTTCTGGCAGATGTCGCAGTGGTATTTGTACTTGTTCTCGTGGCATTTCAGGTGCTTGTTCAGCAGGTCCTTGCGCGCAAAAGTTCGCTCACAGCTATTGCACGGGAACTTGTCGGGATTCGTGTGGAAGATGTTGTGGCGCGTCAGATTGTCGAGCCGCGAATATTTGCGCGTGCAAATGTCGCAAGAGTACTTGCTGCGCTCCGAGTGGCTGCGCTGGTGGTAGCGCAGATACCTCTTCTGCGCGAACGACTTGCCACAGGCGCAGCAGCTCAGCTGGCTCGTCGACCCGTCGCCCGCGACGCTCGAGTGCGCCCTCAGCTCCGACTCGCTGCCGAACTCGCGCTTGCAGTACGGGCAGCGGCTGCTGCCCTGTTGCTGCTGCTGCTGCTGCCGCTGCTGCTGCTGCTGCTGCTGCCGCCGTTGCTGCTGCGGCTGTTGCTGCTGCTGTTGCTGCGGCCGTTGCTGCTGCTGCTGCTGCTGTTGCTGCTGCTGCTGCTGCTGCTGCTGCTGCTGCTGCTGCTGCTGCCGGGAATCGCGGCTCGCCTGCTGCAGGAACTGGGGGTCCGTCATCAATTGGTACAGGTACGTGTCCTTGAACTTGTCGGCCGAGACCTCCTGCTTGCGCTTGGTTGACAGGTCCAGGGCGCTTGGCTCCGCTGACACTCGGTCCTGCAACGAGGTTTCAAACGACTGCCTGAGTACTCGCTGTCTGGCCGCGACTCGTAAACACAGCGGCCTCGCGGCTCGCGTAAAAGTGGAATGTTTGCTGCGATCGGCGATTCGAGGAAGGCCAACTGTTTACAGACTGGCGCTCGCTCGACGCAGAGCTCCGGCATGTACACAACGCGCCGACACGGCTGCGATTGAAAAAACCTTGGTACCTGTTTGCCGCTGCCCGGATCCAGCTGCTCGACAATGTCGCCGAGCCTGCTCAAGTGGACGCTGCTCACCGGCAGGTCGACCTGGCGCCCGGCCGGCAACGCCACCTTCGATGCAGATGCGCCGCTCGCCGGCAGTTTGCGCGGCAGGTGTCGTGGCACTGTTTTCACCCGCATTCTGCCGCACCGGTCACTGCACGTCCAAGTTTCACGAGTTTTCGCGGATCCAACTGGCGCGGCTCACTCCGTCTTCGCACTTATCGTCTTGGCGATCGAATGCCGACAGCAGTCAACTATTCGGGCTATTTGGCCGCGGAAAGTGCCCTTCGGGCGACTTTGATAAGCATTAGCCGGCGGAGTCGCGAACACACGCACACGCGCGCACGGCTATATCCGACTTTCGCGCTCCATCGGCGGTCAACGCTCGATATGTTTTGAATGTTCCTGCTACGTTCGGCGCGTGCTCGCGCCTTTTTTCCTTCGCCAATCGACGAATGGTCCCTGCCATCTCGAGCCAACGCTTGGCGAGCTCGCGGCGACGGCGTTCCGCAAGGCATGGCGCGACGGTTGCGGCTGGCGCAGCGGAAGGATAGCGAGGACGAGAGAGGCTGCTGTCGGGGGAGCGAGCATCGATGAGAGGAGCGCGGGCCAAGCAAACGGATCAATCGGAGTGTTTTTAATTGTCGTCGAGGAGAGCTGAGCGCGGAGCGAGCGGCGCGGAGCGAGCAGCGAGAATACAAGTGGGAGGACAGCGAATGACTCTCGGTATTGTCATAGCTCGAGCGCGCCGCTTTTCTTTATTTCCCCAGTGGCTGGATGAGGTTATACATTTTATTTTATTCTTTTCTCTCTCGCTCTCTCCTTTCACTAGCTCCCCTTTCTGCTGTTGCTCTTTTCGTCGTTTTTTTACGACGTCGGCGATGCCTCCATCTTCTTATTAGCAAAGCTAATTGGAAATACAAATGGTTATTCAGAACGAGAGCGAGAGTCGAGCGAATGGCGGAAGACGACTGGCTTGCTTGGACTAAGTCGGGACCTACACTCGCTGTTTGCCCCGGATAATTAGGACTTTTTTCCGGCCAATTTGGATGAATAATTGATTTTCGCTTGTCGGGCTGTCTCGTTCATCGAATATTTTGCCGGCAAGCGGCAGGCTGGACCACTTGGAGTGACAATCAGGGGCAGGGAGCACGAGCAGGCGAAAAAAAGAAGGAAATCTCGCTGATGAAATATTCAATGCGACTCCGAGTCATAGTTGGACGGATGTTGGCGGCGGCGGCGGCAGCGGCGGCGGCGGCGGCGGCGGCGTATAATGGAGAGCGGCCGACGACAGAGGCAGCTCGCCAAAACTCGAGCTCCGCTGGATTATCGATGAGCGCATTTTCCAAGTGAAACGCCAATTAACCGTCGGAATAGCGCGCGCATCGGCGGCGGACGTTGGGGCTGGCAGCCCGGCTGCTCGCTTGGCCCTCTCCGGGCGCTGCAGTTCGAGCGCGGCGGGCTTCGCTGAAAAATATGAGTTTAATAAAGAAGAGGGTGTGATGTATGGGGGCTGCCGGCTGAGGGAAGAAACTCGCACTTGCCTGCAGATCAGCCGGCTTCGATACACCAGCCAGGTATTGTATACGTAATATATAAGCTACGCCAGGCGCAGCAGCCCTGGCGGACTCGTCGACAAGGGGCGTTTCGGCTGAAATAAAAAATAACAGCTCGCGTGACGCTTTTATTACATTCCTGATGGAAATCGATCGTTATTAAATACTCCCTTTCGACGACTATTCTCGCTGTCTGCCGGTGTGTTTTTAATAAACACGTGGCTGCTGCTCGCAGCAGATCGATCAAGCGCGTCAAGCGGCGTAATCAGCCGCCCAACGGATCCGCAGGTACGCCGTGCTTTCCTCGGCAGCTCTTCTGCTTCCGCCTGCGCCCTCCTTCTTCAGCTTCTTCCGCCGCTCGGGCTTTCGCCCGTGTATCGCTCAATCTATATCAAAGGGGTCGCGCCGCGCCGCCGCCGCGCCGCCGCGCTCCAGCCGGGGCAGGGGCGTCGAAAGGCGCTGGAGGAGCGAAGCTGCTTCGACGCCAGCCGAGGCCTCACCCCGCGTCACATTTCGCTACAGACTAATAACTTCTGAATATTCATTTCGTGTTTCTCCTTGCCTGCCATCGCGCGGAGAGCTACCTCGCCTCCCCGAGCAACCAGCCGAGGAGCCCCCGAGGCTCCCATCGCAAAAATCTCATAATATTCCGCGCAGCTCGATAATGTGCATACATGCCTAGCTAGCTGCGTCTAATTAGGCGGCTGCCACAAGGCTGCCGTCGGGCTGCGAGCCGTGGCTGCAGCAGCGCCGATCGCCCTGGCCGCCCTCGCCTCTTTTCCGCCGAGAGAGCCGCGCGCGCTCGGATTGCCGATGCCGCCTGCGCTGCTCGCTTCAATTCCGCGATCTCTGCGACAAATTAGCACAGACAAATTTCCCCTTGGCTCGTTGCTCCTTCGTTCGCTCGCTCGCTCGCTCGCTCGTTCGTTCGGCTCTCCTCCCTCGACGCGCGTGACGTCGATTTTGCTTTCTACTGTCAGCCCCGCGACTCCTCCCTCCGCCTCTCTTTCTCTCGTGCGCTCCGCAACCGGAGCTTGGCGCGCTAATCGCTCCTCCGGGATCTCGCGCGAAAGAGACGTTCGCCGCGCGCGCGATGCCGAGCAATTTGCTCGTCTGTTTTTTCTTTTTTTTTTCGGTCTTTCCGTTTGCGCGCAACTCGGCTCCGCGGCGAGTGGTGGCCAACTTGAGTCGCGGCCGCTTCGACGGCCAATCCGGCGCGAGCGCGATTGCTCGTCGAGCAACAAATAGCGCGCGCGACGCCGAAAGGGGAGCGAGATGACAAATGAGAAATGGCGCGAGGACGAGTGACACTGGCAAATTCGACTGCGGAGCGCGCGGCCAAGTAACATTGGCGAGCCGCGGTAGCGTGGCAGCGTGGCAGCGCGGCGACTCGGGCTCGGGGCGCGCGATAATAAATATAGAGAAAATGAAAAATTATTAAAAACTTGCTTTTTAGCGGCGAGCGGGTAATCCTGGAGCGAGGCGCGACATTAAAAAGCGCGAACGGACGAGTGAGTAGCCCGGGCGCCCCTCCCGTGGCGGCGGAGGCGGCGGAGGCGGCGGTCCTCTGGGTGGGCGTCCGGACACACGCGAATTATTTATACGCAGGACTAGCTCTGACGACATTACCGCCGTGTTAGTATTAAATCATAATGAACGACCTGTTACGAGGAGCACTGATTCTCCCTTACAACCACTCCTTTGCCGCGCGCTCTCTTTCTCTCTCTCTCTCTCTCTCTCTCTCGAATATACGGCCGCGGATATGTGCGCGGGCCGCGTTTTGTTGATTACACCCCCGACCCCAGGCGCATCCTTTTTACTTTTACTTCTGGCGCGGCCCCGACTCCTTTCTGGCCGCTCGTTTTATTCCGCCCTCCCCGCTCGACAAATGTGCGCGCTGCTCCTTTGTGTAGTCGGTCGCGCGCCGAGCGATTTTCGCTGCTTCTCGACGATCCGCTATCGACGAGCAAGGCGCTGCAGCGACGCCCGAAAGAAAACGCAAAAAATCCAGCCCCAAAGTTAGAGCAGCGAGCCGCGACAGGCAGACGCGATCGCCTCGGATTCAGAATTGCAAATTCTTTAATTCCCGGCTGTGGCTGCTGGCCGGCCGGCACTGCCGAGAATGCCGGCGCGCGTGGGGCACGGGGCAGAGAAAAGACCGCAGGAAAATAGCTTCGCCGCTGACCTGTGCAAACATCCGCGAGGCGGGCGGCGGCGACCGAGGGGATGTGTATTCAAAAATTTACATAGCTACATTCTGATTAAAGTGTCCTAGAGAGCAAATCTAATAGTCGGCGGGCGCAAAAAGCTGCAGACGCGGGCGGGGATCGGGCCGCACTTGAGCTCGCGCCAATCGCCATGGGAGAGGCCGGGCTGGTCTTGCCGGGCAGGCCAGACGTTTTAATTGTCGCGGCGATGCCCAGCGGGCTGCGCAGCCCGCAACGAGCCGGGGGCCGCGGGGTCGCGCGCGGCACACGTAAGGCGCCCGCTAAACAGGGAAC